CACACACACACACACACACACACACACACACACACATAAATAAATAAATCAAGGCTGGTGAGATAGCTCAGCAGTCTAAAGCATCTTCTTAGGCAAGCACAGGGACTGAGGTTCGATCCCCAGCACCACATGTTGCATCAGCCCCACCCCCAGGGCGGGCTGAGCCCTCCCACCATAAAAAGAAAGAAAACATCTATTCAGATTAGCATTTTAAATTGTGCGTTAATTGTGGGTTGGGGCGATAGCTTAGTGCCTCTAGCACCTCTCTGACAAGCACAGGGTCCTGAGTTAAATTCCCAGTACAAAAAAAAAGGTGCACTCATGTGATTGCTTAGTTCACTTAAGCTGATGGACTCAGTTTCCTAGGTTTTACCCTTGTGGGCTAAAATCTCTGACTGCAGATGAGCTGGGCCAGTCAGTCATTTTGAGGCAGAATGCAGCAGGTTTGTGCCAGGTGAAAGTTAGGAGGCCAGTGTAAAGCCTTTGTTATTTTTTAATAGATCTGACAAAGTTTAGGTTTAGAGCCTAATCTTTTTTTTTTCTTTTTCTTTTTTTTTCTTTCTTTTCTTTTTTCTTTCTTTCTTTCTTTTTTTCTTTGTGTGTGTGTGTGTGTGTGTGTTTTAACAGTTTTAGGTTTCTTATCCAGAAGAAAAATTGTTTTTCTGTTCACTTTTATTAAGCTTAATAGGAATTAAAGCTACCCAATGAGCATTGAGGTTGTTATTCTGTCCCATAGAATATTTCTGCTCCCTGGAAAATTTGTAATGGATAAAACAGGAGCATTACGCTAATGTCAGTGTTTCTCTTCCAGTACAAATGGCAAAGCTTCCGTTGTGATGCCAAGGGCACTGTTATACTGGGGAAAAAGACTGGCTTGTATCTCTGCTACCTTAGTGCTCCAGAGAGCACCGAGCACCCTTCCCTGCTAACACTTACGGAGTGGGGAAAAGAGCCTCTTTTGGTCTGAGCAGCACTTCTGCCTCTTCCCTCTTGCCCTGTGTCCCACTGACTGCACTCTGCCTTGTGAGGCTCCAGCTGCTCTGCCAGCCCCAGGAGAGAAGGACAAGGTGTGCTTGCAGTGACTGTAGCTTTCTCCTTGACTAGCAGGAAATGTTACTGTCCCCATTCTGTCCTCCAAGGTGAGTGACGAATGGTAATAGTAGCGCCTCTCCTTTTTTCTGGCTCCTCCAATACCTACGACCCTTAGTGGAGCCAGGAGGACAGGCACATGAAGTTTGCCTTCTACAGTCTTCCTGTCTAGGACCAGCGAGATACCAAGCACCTGCTTAGGCAAACACAGGGGCCAGGGTTCGATCCCTGGCATCACATGCTGTGAGGGGAAGCTGAAAACAGGAGGATCACTATGAGTCTGAAATAAATAAATAAAAGAGTTTAAAAAAAAATACAGTCAGTGTCTGGTAGTGACAGGGACATACATAGCTCTGGCTGTAGGGCTGCAGGTCAGTAAGTGGCATTCATTTCCCAAAAGCTTTGTATTGAGGACAACTAAAGGGAGATGTTTTATCTATTTTTATTTTCTTGTGATTTTTTTGCCACTGTTCTGTATCACCTTTGTATTTGTTTTACCTCACACCATAAGTATAAATATAAAAATATTTTCTGCATATTGAAACTATTACAAACTTTACCAAAGAGTAATTTTAGTAGAGAGAGAAAACTCAAATATGCAAACTCAGTATCTCCAGGCCCCCAAGAGTTAACATGGAAGAATGAGACCAGATTGGTATAAGACAGGGAGAGTGTAGGGGCTGGGCCCAAATGGCAGACTTGTGGTAGGAGACATTTCCGTTAACAAGTGTGTGTAACATCCTATTCAGCCAAACAACGATGGGCTGACTCTGTGTCCAGAAGTGCCCCTTTGAAGGGTCGGCAAGATAGCTCAGTGGACTAAGTGCCTGCTTAGGCAAGCCCAGCGACAGGGATTCAATGCCCAGCACCACATGCTGTGCTGGCCCCCTCTACAGGCATGCTGAGCTGGCCACTGAGACTGGGCGTGGTGGTGTACGCCTATAATCCCGGCGCAGCAGACCCCGAAAACAGGAGGATCACTAGGAGTCTGAGCTGTGTAGTGAGACCCTGTGCCAAATACATTTAAAAAAAAAATACCCATTTGTTAACCTTGATGTGTTTTTTACTTTGGAACATAGTCTAAACACATGACAAGTAACATATGTGAACACCAAACCTCTATTAAAGTTGTGAGCTGGGGGGCTGGGGAGATGGCTGGGGTTACTGTCATTTTAGATAATAAGTGCTTCCCTGGCAAGTACAAGGGCCTGAGTTCAATCCCCAGTTCTGCAAAAAAAATAAAATAAATAAATAAAGTTGTGAGCTGGGACTTAATAAGTTTAGACTAGGTTCAACCAACTTTGGCTGTTGTGACCCTTAAAAAAAGGAGAGGGTGATATTTGATGATATTTACAAGGTTTTTATTATTGTTTCGTATTTGAAGTAAATAAGGCAAATTTGATATTATAAGCATTATTTTCGCTAAGTGATTCTATTAGTTCTCCCTAATCTACAACTTGGTTTCCTTAGCTAGACATTTCAATGCAAAGTAGAAAACTGGGAAGAAATGTCATTATTTTAGATCTGTAAATTTACTTTTGTGTTCTTATATTTGATTTCAATAAGAATTGATTGAGCATACTATATACCTAGCAGAGAACTAAATACTGTGGCATCATAGTATTCTAGAATGGTTACTGTCATTTTAGATAATGTTGCAGACCTTAGGTAGGATTTGCTTAAAAGAGTCTTGTTTTGAAGACTTGTTTGTATTGTAAGAAATTGTTAGAATAAAAACATACGTTAAAAAGTGGTAATTTTAACTAAGAAGAGGTTTAATAGCATGGTTAAAGTTACCATTTACATTAGAACCGTTCATTTTGCAGTTTTTGTAGCCTTTCATCTGAAGTTAGCACCAAATACCTTCAAGTCAAATGTCAATTTTGAGCTAGTAGGTGTGCCTATGCAGGTCTTGGATCATCACAGTACTCAAAACAGTATTTAAATTGTTTAAGCAGATAAACAATCTAATAAAGCAGAGCAAGGCTTGTCATTAATCAAATGCATATACCTCCAGGTTGGCCACATTCGTGCGGAGCGTGACATTCTAGTGGAGGCAGACAGTTTGTGGGTTGTGAAAATGTTCTATAGTTTTCAGGATAAGCTAAACCTCTACCTAATCATGGAGTTCCTGCCTGGAGGTAATTACTTAACGATGAAAGGTCACTTTTCCTTTTTGTTCTGTGGTTTCTCTCTCTCAACAATTAACTCCTATTTTTAATTGTGCTCACAAAGTTGCTTTCTGTATCTCTTTTTTTAGGTCTTTAAAGGAGGTTACTGACCAGTAACCTGTCTTGTGTTGTGGGGCCTTTCTCCAATCTAGTAACCTTTTCATTCATGCTCATGATTTCAGAAGGACAGTTCTTTCTCTTTTTCCTTTAAAATGTGTATGGGTGAAACTAGGGAGCTCTTCTTGCTTTGTTGTCATTGAGAACCATATATAAATTATCCAAGTGACAAAATTGAAGCCATAGCATTTTTTTTGCTTTTAAGTTTTTAAATTTCTTTTTCTAATTTAGGAAATAAATTTCTCATTACTTCTATTAGAAGCCAGAATTGATCTTTTATTTCTGAGATTTCAAATTTTCTATACCTCTGCATTTGCTCCTCCTAAGACAATTCCAGAGAAAACCCAGAGCAGATCATACCCTGTTCTGAGAAACACAGTGTTTCCCAGTGAACTGATTAGCTGAGCAAACTCAGGTGGAAAAATACAGACTTTTTTTAGTTTTAGCAAAACCAATACAATTATGACATAATATATTGATCTTTTGGCAAACCTCACTTTGGATCCAGGATCACCAAGAATTTTTTGTTGCCAGTTGATCAAGGTTGGAAGTGAGTCTGTCTAGAAAGATCAGGAGCAAGTCTTGAACATTCAGAAGCTCGTTCTTAAGTAGAAGTAAGCGCTAGCTTGGTCTCCAGCTCCTTGACACGTGTGTCCGGCACCGTCTTCTGCAGCTTCTTGTGTTCCCCGAACCCTTCTCTTTGCACTCGGTGGAGCTGGCCTGCAGAGCCATGGGCCGCCTGGCTTGAGCTTTCAGTGGCCTGGACAGCCTCCTCCTAGGTGAGGCCCTGGGTTGCGCTCTGAGCCTTTTGTGGAGGCCACCAGCCACCCAGCCACCCAGTGCAGGCCTGAGGGCCCTGCCCCAGGTCTCTAGTGCTCCTGCAGCTCCAAGGCTGCGGGTTGTGAGAAGGCCTGATTTTCAAGTCTTAGTCCAAAAAGAGCAGCTAATAAGTGGTTTGATTGTTCCCTAAGGGAAAATACAAACTTTTCTTCAAGAACACGAAGACTAAAGTTATGAGTGAAATGAAGTTCAAAAGTTATGTGATGTCTATTTAATCAGAGGTTTCTCTCTTTCCTGTCTTCTAACAGAGATAACTTATAGGGTTTAAACTGAAATCTTTTATGTTTCTTATAATTTTAAACTACTTACATATATTTTCTTTGCTTTTGTCTAATTGTTGACTTTTAGGATTTTAGTCTGTCTTTTGCTATTTTATGTTTTGGTGTTTAGCAGAAATAATTAAGCCTTGACTACAGAAAAGTATTACCATTTACCTGATGAAAACTGACACTGTATTTTGTAATACATAAAAGATACTGCCATATACCTAAATATCTATAATAAAGCATTATGGAAAACCCTACTGATCTTGAGATGTGTACCGTGCACATTTGTGGGAGACAGCTGTTACACATTCCAGTGGGTAGCATTTTTGACCTTCTGTGAAATAATTTTTTCTGTTTCTTTTTATCTTCTTTTTTTTTTTTTTTTTTTCCTGTCTTTTAGTGACAGGATTTCACTGTGCAGTTCAGGCTGGCCTAGAACTGACTTTGTAGCCCAAGCTGGCCTTGAACTTGCTGTGATCCTCCTGCTTCTGCCTCCCGAGTGCTGGGATAACAGGTGTGCACCACCACCCCTGGCCTGTGGACTAATTCTTGCTTGCTTGAGTCCCAGCTTTTCATTGATTCATTTTCTAGTGTTTTATGAAGATGGAAAACTCGTTTTCAGCCTTCCCAGCTATTGACATTTTAATGTAGCATACCAGTTTCTCGCTATAGCAATGAGCAAGTACAACCTATGTGAAAATGCCGTTTGCTTCTCGATATAGAGAACTTTGCTGATACATGTACAAAATGAAAGATAGTAGGCTTTTTCCTGGTCTAAAAATGATCCTAAGCATATTTGCTTTTTTATAAAAGTAAGTGTAAGACAAATTACCTTTTTCTGTCCAAAACCAAATGGAAAGCCCAATAAGTGGCCAGGTGCAGAGCTTAGGTATCAGAATGCTTTGCTTTGCTCTTGGTGACTGTGATTTTTGTCCTTTAAGTATTAGAAACTACTACTTGCCATTTTCCTCCTATTGGAAGTGTTGGTAAATTTCAGAAACATAACAAGAGTTTTGTTTAGCTGCCAAATGTTGGCAGATAGGGGAGAAATACCTGAAAACTGGTACTTAATCCTGTCTTGTTTGTGTGTTACGTGTGTGTGCTTGGGTGTGTGTATGTGTATCTGTGGATGTATGGTGGTGGCTTTGTATCCTTTTGCTTTCAGGGGACATGATGACCTTGTTGATGAAAAAAGATACATTGACTGAAGAAGAGACTCAGTTTTATATAGCAGAAACGGTATTAGCCATAGACTCCATTCACCAACTCGGATTCATCCACAGAGACATCAAGCCTGACAACCTTCTGCTGGACAGCAAGGTATGTATCAGGGTAGCAGCATGAGTAGTGTTGGCTCATCTGAGCTGGGGTGAGGGCTGTTTTCTGTCTGGTAGATTTTCCTTTTTTTAAAAAAAGGAAAATTTGTTGCCACTTCTGCTCTCTAAAAGGCTCATGGTTGTTTGATAGGACATTTGTAAAACTATTTGAGCGCAAAATTGACTGAAAGGGTTATTTTGTAATAAAGCCAAAGATAGCTATCTTCTGGTAGCATCTAATTAACTATACTTCCAATGCTTCATCTATCCAAACCCTCCTTTGAGCTAATGAGGAACTCAGGCAAGAACCAGGAAGTAAGGTAATAGCAAAAGCAAAAACCTCCCACAAAGTCCAAATTCCTGATCACATGCCCTCTGCCCAGCCTCTGGAATAGCTTGTTTATATTTATCTTTAGATGTGAAAATAAGCTTGCTTATTTATTTATTCATTTATTTGATGCAAGGTCTCACTACGCAGTTAAGACAGAGTTCTGGGGCTGGCATGCCGTGCAGTACCAGGGATCGAATTCAGGTCCTTGCACTTGCCAGGCAGGCTCTTAAACCACCAAGCTATCTCCCAGCCCTAGAATTTTTGTCTTGACTAAATTTTTCTTCTAAGTAAAAAGTCAACTTACGGGGCCTGGCCCTAGCTCAGGCCTTTAAGTGGCTGCTTCCACAAAGCTGTCAGCCTCAGGTTGCTGGAGTTCGAACCTCACACCTCTCCAGCGGGCCAAAAGTGCCCCGAAGGCATTCGAGGAACAAAAAAAAAAAAAAAAAAGTCAACTTAATCCCTACTATAATTTTCTTCCTCGTCATCTTTTGATAATTTTCTAGCTGTCTTTGAAAAACATGAATATTGTTGTTTTTTTTTAATGACCAGAAGACTTTTATCTTTCTTTGAGATTCTTTGTTTCAAGAGGGCAGACTTATCAGATGAATTTTGGTTAGTAGTTTTTCTCTTCAATATAAAAATAAACATATATAACAGAGAATTTGAATACTATCCACAATTAAAGAAAAATAGTCTTTAATCTCACCACTGAATTAACTACTGTTTTGTTTTAATAGCTTTGGTATATTCCTCTGTATGTCAGTAACTTATGTAAAGTTAGCATCTTAAAAATAAATAGCTTAGGGGCTGGTGAGATGGCTCAGTGGTCTAAAGCACCTACTTAGAACAAGCTTAGCAAAGCACAGGGACCGCAGTTCAATCCCCCAGCACCACATGCCAGCCAGCCCCGCCCCCTGGTGGGCTGAGCTGGCCACACACACACACACACACACACATACATAAATAAATAAAATTTAAAAAAAAATAAAAATAAAAATAAATAAAAAAATAAATAGCTTAGTAGGGGTGGCCAGGTAATTCAGTGGACTAAAGCACCTGCTTAGGCAGAGCACAACAGCTGGGGTTCAACCCCCTGCCGTGCCGGCCCTGCCCCGGTGGCATGCTGAGACAGTGATTGAGAGTGGGTGTGGTGCCGCATGCCTGTAATCCCAGGACTTGGGAGGCTGAAAACAGGAGAATCACTAGGAGCCTGATCTGTTTAATGAGACCCAGTATCCCCTGTAGACCCTGTCCTAAGTAAAAAAAAAAAATCATAATAATAAATAAAAATAAACAGCTTAGTACATATGCTGTGGAAAATTTGAGGAAGTTTTTTTTGTCTTGGTTTTTTGTGGTACCAGGGATTGAACTCAGGACCCTGCGCTTGCTTGCCAGGCAAGTGCTTATTCTACTGATCTCTCTCCCTGGCCCTGAGGAAGTTAAAAAATTATTTTGAGTTCTAATGTTTTTTTCTATGTATTTGGTACAGGGTCTTACTACACAGCTCAGACTTGTAGTGATCCTGTTTTCAGCCTCCCCAGCACTGGGATTACCGGCGTGTGTCATCACACCCTGTCTCAGTGGCTGGCTCAGCATGCCCAGGAGTGGGGCCAGTGCAGCTTGTGGTGCCAGGGATTGAACCCCGGTCCCTGGGCTTGCCTAAGCAGGCGTTTAGTCTGCTGAACTATCTCACCAGCCCTTGAATTCTATTTTTGTACCAAAAAAAAAAAAAAAAAGTACATAGCTTTATATTCTGCTTAGTTTTTGTTTTGCCACGTTAGGGGTTGAACCCAGGATCCCATACACATTAGGTACGCACTCTACCACTGAGCTACTTCCTTAGCCCTGCGTTCCGCTTTTAAAACAGTGCTATATAAGATCGTTGTGTGCTATAAAGTTCACATATTTTTAATAAGCACTGGCCTGCCTTGTGTGGTTTTGAATTCAGATGCCCTTAGTGCTTGGCTTAGTTGTAGCTTGTGTTTAGGACAATGAAACACCTTGGAGGCCAAGGCTTTGGGAGCCCAGTCTCACTGGAGAGCAGTGAGTATCTCGGACACATCTGCCTTCTACACTGTGCTAGCTCAGACTTGTACAGTGTCCTCATAAGTAAGTCCATTTATGTGTTGAGCCTCATAGATTTAGATGTGAAAATACTGAAGTGTTCAGTTTCTGCTGTGTACTCAGAATAGCTATGGAGTTCTCTGAAAGGCTAGGCTTGAATAACACTTGCCCTAGGCACTTTTTAAGATAGCTCCTTTCCTCAGCAAAACATATAATTTTGAGAATTATAAATTAAAAATCTGTCCTTTCACTTGTAGGACAAGTTATTTGCAAATCAGAAAAAAGATGCTAAGTAGGCTCAAAGCTGTCCTTGTATAGCAGTGCACCTGCTGAGCCTACCCCCCACCCCACCAACACACACATCAAAAGGATTTCCATAAAAAAGAAAACATAAAACTTGACCCATCCAGGCAGGTACCCTTTGGCTTTGTGCCCTGCAAAGTTTGTATGTTGAACCCCAAGAATGCCCCAGAGGCTGGTGGTATTGAGGAAAGGCCACATTGAAGTCATTCGGGCTCAAATCTGGGCCATTGTACTTCTGATTGATCTTGAGCTGGTGTCTCCCCTGAGCATCAGGATTTCCTCTTCTGTTTTTTTTTTTTTTTTCTCACCTCTTCCATGTATTTAAAATTCCATCTCAAGAATACACACTTTTATAGGGCCAGCCATTGTATTAGGAATAAATTCACGCATGCATTGAATTTATTTCTGCCAGAAGGAGGTTGAAGAGGTGACTGTGAGATACTGCTCCCTTTCTCTTTTAAGTTTACTCCTTAGAATTTGTCCCAGTGAAATTCAAGAGGAGAAAAAGCTGTATGAACAAGATTTATTCATTTACTCATAATTTTAACAACCATTTAATCAGAACACCCTGTGTATCATACACATTTGAGATTGGAGATACAGACCACCTCTGTCAAGGGTACTTACAATCCATGTTACATGAAAGAAAAATTGAAAATGGAGTTAAGAATACAGTATGGTTAAGTAAATAACAGTGTGATAAAAGTTGTCTGTTATGTAGACATTAAAAACAGTAATTTTGAAGACTGTCTAAACATAAAATAGTTGATTGTATCCATTAAAACAGTAAAATTGTCTCTAGGTTCTATGGAGTATTTAACTGTTATAAGAGGCCTATAATTTCAACAAAACCAAACATAACATGCAAAAATGAAAATCATTTAAATATAATAGGACTTAGGGTATTCTTTCAAAAGTTTATTATTACACGTTTCCATCTGTTTAAAAAAAAAAAGCCAACCCAGTGTCCTCAGGCTGTAGAGATGTAGTGGCTAGAGGCAGGAGCAAAAGACAGAGCTGGGTCTTCCACTCAGGCATGCTCATCCACTTTCTGCCTTGTCTTTCTCTCCACAGGGCCATGTGAAACTTTCTGACTTTGGCCTTTGCACAGGCCTGAAGAAAGCACACAGGACGGAGTTCTACAGGAATCTGAACCACAGCCTCCCCAGTGACTTCAGTGAGTGTGATCGGTGTGACGCCTTTTTGTTCCCAAGTAGGGGTGGAGGGCCGTTTCTTGGTGATGGGGGTCCTTGCAGCGTGTGTTTCTGAGGAAATGATGGGGATTGTCTAGTGAGGCCAGGTGAGTGCTGCTCAGCGTGATAAGGCTGATGTGGAAAAGCGCTTTTCCTTAGAGCACTCCTGGAAAGGCACTGTGGATGAGTATGGGGCCAGCGAGGCAGAGTTGTAGAGGGTGAGTCCTGGGAACAGCTCAGGTCGAGGTCTACCCTAGGTCTGTGGTGGCAGCCTTGGAGACCAAGTACCAGAGTACGCTAAGAACCCTCTTACTTGTTGGAAAGTGTCAACACTGTAATTAAACCCGAATACTGAGGTTTTTAGTTTAGAAAAATGGCTCACACAGTAACATCTTTTGTGTTAAAAGGAAAACATCACAACTTGAGTGCCACAGGTTCGCCACCACTGGCCCAGGTCCTTCTTTGTGTCATGGTAGAAGGAAATTCACCTTTATAAGGTTATTTCTCCTTCAGCACTATCAGCACTGAAGAATATGTAATAAAGCAAAATTTGTGCTGGAAAAGCTTATGTCATGTTGTGTAGCTCAAACTTAGATGTCCTTGAATGTGTAACAATTGTTATTTGTAGAATTTGGATGATAATTTTGAGAGACTGCAACTGTTTTAGCTGTGTTTCATGGCCTTGTTTTCATTGAGACCAAATTTTCTGTAATTCTTAACTGTGTTCTCTGGCCCTTTGACCCACACAAGAGTGCCGTTTGCAGCCTTCATTGTAGAGTTCTTGTTAACGCTTGACTCTCTGGCTTTTAGAGTTGCTGGGAAATGTGTCCTCCAGAACTTTTAGTGTGTGGGAAGAAGATGTCTTAGTCACTTCCTCATCCCTGGGATTGAGTGTACAGCACTAACAAAGGAAGAAGGGCTTATGAGGCTCGTTTCGGCTCACGTCTGTCAGGGGTTCAGGCCGTAGGCAGCTGGCTGTAGAGCAGAAGTGATGTGGGAGGAGGACCTGCCTTGCCGCAGAGGAGCACTGCCCACGCCGTGGTGAGGAGAGGAGCCGGGGAGGGAGATGCCAGGATCTGTCCACTGAGGCAAACCAGCTTTCGCGCCTGCTGGCCCAGTCACCTTCCACAGCCCGCAAGGCTTAGGGGGACATCTAGACAGAAACTGTAACATAGGGTTTCATGTGACTTAAACCAGCACTCTCCAAAGCAGTAAATAGTCCTGTGCAAATTTTGATGAGAACTTGTTTTCTCTACTTTTAGCTTTTCAAAACATGAATTCCAAAAGGAAAGCAGAAACCTGGAAAAGAAACAGACGTCAGCTAGTAAGTAGTGTCTGTGGCTTCTGAAATGCTACAAACCAAGTAGGAGTACATTCAGAAATAAGTGCACACATTTGCATTCAGTGCGCATCTGCAGCATACCCCTGTGCGGCACGTTCCCTTAGTAGCGCTCTGTCGTGTGGGCAGCCCCAGAAGGAATCTGTTGAAGGAAGGCAGGTAATACTAGGTTGTTTTGACTGTGGTGTCTTCAGTGAGTGGCCTCGTTCTGATCTTCTAGGTTGGTAGTACTCACTGCCTTTCCTTCCTGTTCCACATTTCTTGCCAAAGGAGTTTTATTTAAGCTGGAAATCACTCAAATTTTGACCCATTTAGGCAAAATTCTCATCTGCTTGCCTTTTCATTACTTGTGGTTTAAAACAAGTACCTGGTTATCAAAATTATAGAGAAATATAAAAGTATTTTAATCTTTACACATATGAAACTATGCCCTAGGCATAAAAATAAGTAGTCTAGGGCCAGGGAGATGGCTCAGTGGAATAAGCGTTTCCCTGGCAAGCACAGGGCCTGAGTTCAATTCCTGGTTCCACAAAAAAAAGTAGCCTTATTGCATTTACCTTGATAGTACCTTGAATTTTTTTTTGAGACAAGATTTCCCTGAACAGTTTAGTAACTCACTTTGTAGCCCAAGCTGGCGTAAAACTCACAGTGATCCTCCCACAGTGTCCTGAGTGCTGGGAACAGGTGTGTGCCACCATGCCTGGCCAAGACCCTGTCTTGATTGAAAAAGAAAGGAAGGAGAGAAGGGGGACAGGAAGGGAAGAAAACAAAGGAAGGAAAAAGGGAAGGAAAAAAGTGAGAAACAGAAGGAGGGGGAAAAGGGAGGGGTTGCATTGTTTTGATTAAAATTTATCAGTGAAACATCATGCATTACGATTTTATGTTACATCTTTGGAGATGCAGTGACTGAAAGAAATCTTTGATGTCTTTCTAGTATTAACTTAGGGATACTTGAGGATATAGTTTCAAAATCTAAATTCTATTTTTAGTTTTGAAAGCTATTTACGTATACCAGGCATGGTGGTGCATGCCTGCAATCCCAGCACTTGGGAGGTTGAGGCAGGATTTCTGTGAGTTTGAGTCCAGCCTGGGCTACAAAATGAGCTCAAGGCAAGCCTCAACTATAGAGCAAGACCCTGTCTCAAAAACAGATAAACCAAAAACTATATAAGTTATTGAGATTAGAGAATATCAGGAGCAGATTGGCTGGATACTTCAATTATTTTTTGTTTTTGTTTTTGCTTTTTTGAGACAGTTTCACTATGCAGGTCAGGCTGGGCTTGCCCTCACTTTGTAGCCCAGGCCGACGTTGAACTTGCAGGAATCATCCCACTCACTGCAGCCGCCTGGGTGCTGGGCTTACAGGCATACGCTGCCGCACCCAGCACTCTCAGTGTGTCTTTCCGTGACTACATGCCAGAGTCATTTCAGCAGCAGCCTCAGAACATAACTGGTGTCTGGCTCCCACCCATAGAGACTCTGATGGAGCAGTCTGTGATATTTGGGTTTAAAAGTCTGCGTGACTGCAGTAAATGTGTCTGTCACTGAAAAAAGCTGTCTTAAATGATAGTGCCTGCCTTGTTGGGAAACTGGTATTTAACCCTAAAATATTTTGGAAGCTGTCAAATGGTGAAGAATCCTCTAAGATTTTGGTGCTGCTGAATATTGATCCCAGGGCCTCATACCTGCTAACCAGATGCTCAGCCACTGAGTTATACCTCCACTTCTTTTCTCTGTTTTGAAAGCAGGTCGAAACTTAATTTTTGGTTACTGTGCTAACATGTATTTGGGGGATACTTAAGTTTAAGCACCTTGGGGCCGGGGAGATAGCTCAGTGGGTCTGAGTTTAATCCCCGGTTCTGGGAAAACAAAAAAAAGTTTAACCACCTTGAATTATCCTTATACCCTTGAATTAAATTTTGTGCTTCTTGATGTGCAGCAGAGGGTCATGTCAGCTTCACTAGGAATGAGTTTTATGTCATTTTCAAAGCTTTTTGAAAATTGAATAAATTTGAGTCCCTGATGCAGTGACTAGGGTTCTTGCCTTTTCAAGTCACGGTAAAAATGGAAAAGTGTAAATTAAAGTCACATTACCTGTCTTCATAACTTGGAAGAATGTCAAGCCACCTCTTCGGGTTCCAAATGTGACTTCTTTCAGCTTTTGGGCACAGTCCTCTTTGGCCAGCACCAAGCTGAAGGGCGGTGCTGAGTAATGCTCAGCGTGAATGTACCACTGTGGGTCACTCCTGATGGCAGTATGCAATTCCGTCCCCACCCTGTTGCTTTTCAGTCCTTTGGGAGTCACTGAAAAAAGTAAAAGCTTGAACTTGGCTCCTTGGCTGCTTAGATCATACTGTAATGTTTTAAATTGTGGTATGATCTTGGGCAGCTTTACACCCTGGTATTTAATTAAGGGAAAGGTATGAGTCAGCTTGAATTTATTAAACCACAGAGGTAAGAGGTGGTATGATCTTTATCAGTTTATTTCTTAAGGTAGAATTTATGGACATAGATTAATAGGAAATGCTTTATTTCCATAAAACTCTTAAAACGAAGTCCTAAGATTTAGAAGACGTGATGTGATTGACATGACTATTTCCAGCCAATAGAGTTCTTCTAGATTGCAGCTCTCAGGAACACTGTGCTTAGACAACAAAAGAAAGAGGGTATAGATGTAAGAGGCTGGAGTTGGAGGACCACCTCAGTGTGCAAGTAGACACGTTGGGAAGGAGTGGCTCCTTCCCTAGACTGAGAAGGCTCTGTCTCATACAAATACTGCAGAAAGTAAAGCAGGCTCTTATGACAGCTCTAGATGCAGAGTGAGAAGTTTCTCCTACCCTTCACAGGTTTGAACCTTTGGTCGGCTGCATTTTGCTTTATTTTGTTTTATTAGTACATGTTTGCAGTATATAATTTTTATATTCCTTGGGTAGAGTTGGTACATGTACATTCATGAATTTTTTTAACATCTTTTTAACATCTTAGTATCTTAAGGAGTTGTTTCCCTGTGTCAGTAAACCTCTAGTTATATACTCTTTGATCAAGTAAGATTTACTTAATATTTATCTTTGCTAGAATAAATCTAATCTCTAAATTAAAGGGTGTCTATAGGTTTTTTTCCTCTATGATTAGAATGAAAATACTTCTGATTTTAGGGGCAGGGCCCAATCAAGTTCAGACTTTAAAGCTTGAAAGACACAGAAGAAACAAAACTTAAAAACCTATGAGCATTTATGTTAAATATTTGTATTTTTAGAAATTATATACAAAAAATGGATCTGGATCCCTAATTTATTTTACATAAGAATCAATGCTAGATGAACAATAAAAGTTTCAGAGGAAAATACAAGGCAATATTTATATGACCTCAGAGCAAAGCAAGATTTCTTAAATTAGACACAAGCAGTACAAATCATAGGTAAATTTTCTACTTATCTTAGTACTTTAAAGGTCAAAAAGTCCCTGTATATCAAGATATAGACAAGTGAAAAGCCAAGCCAAATGGTACGGAGGCCCTGCAGTGCTCCCTTGCTCACACACACAAGTCAATCCTGAACGCATGTGCAGAAGTCATGAAGACTGCTTCGTGTGTTTTCTCGAATAGCAGAACTCTGAACGTAACCATCACTCATCCACAAGGAAGTGGGTACATTCTGGAATAGGGTATTTTACAGCAGCGGGAATAATGTAACAACAACTACAGGTAACTTTGTGGATCAATTTTAGAAACAAAATTAAATAGAGGGGGGCCTGCCCCTTAGCTCAGTTCTTTAAGTGGCTGCTTCAACAAAGCAGTCAGGTTCAGGTTGCTGTGGTTCGATCCCCACAACACAAGACAGCCAGTCATGCCTTGAAGGCATTCGGAGCAAAAAAAATTAAATAGAAAAATCAAATAGCAGGAGCCTGCATATAGAGTGATACTGTCTCATACAGTTCAGAAATAAAACTGGGGGGGGGCAGGGATATAGCTTAGTGGCATAAGTGCCTGCCTGGCAAGCACGAGGTCCCAAGTTCGATTCCTAGCACCCCCTCCAAAAAAATAAATAAATAAAACTAAATAAAATCTCATGTAGAGAGATGTCACAAAATTTACTTCCTGTTGAGAAATGGAAATGATGTTGAACTTGGCAGTGGGAAGAAGGCGAGGCGGGGAGGTGTGGGGATAAATTCAGGGTTGATACTAATGACACTGGCATTTTCAGTTGAGCTCATAGGTATTCATTTCATTCCTTTGCCTCATAATTTGATTATTACACATGTATATATGCGACATATTTTTTGGTATGTGACAAATACAACTTCAAAAACAATAATTAAAATAATATGCCTCAGACTGGAAGAAGATACTTTTTTAAAATGTATTTAGTACAGGGTCTCACAACATAGATCGGACTGGTTGTGATCCTCGTGTTTTCACCTTCCAAACCCTGGGATTACAGGTGTGCGCCACGGCACCCAGTCTCAATCACGTCTCAGTGTGCCCCAGGGGCGGGCCCGCATGGCACGTTGGAGATCGAACTCCCGCTGGTGGGTCGCTGCACTCTGCCTAAGTAGGCGCTTTAGTCTGCTGAGCTATCTGGCCAACCCTAGTTACTTCTAATATGTAAAACTTTACTGCCTTGAATTCATAGAGTTCCTGAGTCAGTAAAAAAGGGAACAGAACTTTAAAAAAAAAAAAAATGGGGAAAGAATCTAAAAAAAATTACAGGATAAAAAAGACTAGGATGCTTAATTACACAAATAGTTGTTCAGCCTTACTAGAAATAAGAGAAATATAAATTAAAATCTCATTTCATTTTCATCAAGTGGTAAAAATTTAAAAATCTGACCAAACCAAGGGCCGGTGAGAAGCAGAATACTAAGAGCGCCCCGCCCCCGTGCTTCCGGTAGGAGTGACCGCCCGGGAGGACGTGTGGAGGCGGCTTGTCGTCCAGACGCTGGTGAGCCCAGAGCAGCATCCTGCTAGCGGGGTCTCCGTGAGCCTCCCGCGCAGGGTTTGGGCTGAGCGTGCACAGGGTTGCAGTGACGCATCGGGAGAAGCCCCCAGGGTGTTTATAGAGCAGTGGAGAGAAAGCAGTTGTGATTTCTTTGTACAGTGGAGATGAATGAACAAGAGCTGCACAAATAAATCGCAAAACCGCAGTGTTGAGTTAAAGAACCAAACCTTAACATTGAAGCATAATACAGTGTGGTATAAAACTCTTCATTAAATGTTTTTTAAAAATACAGCTTGTCAGCATATTCACACAACATCACGGCAGCTTCTGTATAGATTTTACTTCATAGGGAAGGGAGGAGATTGAAGGTAGAGCTTTGTTTCTATAATTTCACTTTTAAAAGACAAATGATTAAGACAAATACAGCAGATTATTAACCTCTAATATGGGGTGGCATATTGTGTTGCAATGTGGACTTTTTACTATATATCTGTAACATTTCGTAATATTTTTTAAAATGCACAGCTAAAATTTTGATTTTTGACTATTTAAAGCATTTAGAATAGAGCCTCACACATGATAAACCCTCAAATGTTATGTATAGTGGACTATGTTTTTTCCTAGAATTTTGTAGTCCAGGTGTATTAGAGCAGAATACTAAAATTTAGAAATTGTTCCTCTAATGCCAGGTGTGGTGGCGCACGCCTGTAACCCCAGCGCTCGGGAGGCTGCGGAGGCAAGAGCATTTCAGTGAGTTGGAGGCCAGCTCGGGCTACATAGTGAGACCCTGTCTCAAAAAAAAAAAAAAGAAAGAAAAAAACAAAATAGGATAGAAATTGTTCTTCTAGTAATGAACAAAAAAGTAAGTCTGGTAAATACACATGTACATGCACCTGACCTCTATAGGATGTAACTTTCGCTTTTAGTAATAAACCTTGTCTGTTTCTCAAGACAAGAAATACCTCTGTTGGAAAAGGGGAGGATGTGAAGCAAGATACTTAATTTTCAAAGTAAACTCTGCACTTAACTAGTTTTGGCCTTGAGCAAAGCTATTTAAAATGTAAAAAAAAAAAATTGTATTTTGCAGCATTGTATTGACAAGGTGCTCCTTGTAGAAGTATTCTCAGGACTGGATAGGCTTATGTATACACAAAGAAATACAGGGCCGGGTCATAATGGGTCCTCAGTGAATTATGGTCCTAGTTGTGATAAGATAACTTTGACCTAGGGAATTGGAGTTTGGATCTATTTAGAAGGCTCTGTCAGCTCATTAAAAAGCTTTATTTTTTGTTTTGGAAAATGCTCAGGCAAATCACTCTTGCATTAATCCACTGGGCCATCCTGCTGATTATTTTTGGGGTAGCTCCTGGTGGTGCTTGCAGATGAGAGCTCGGCACCACAGGCCTGGCGGGCCCCCTGACATGTGGTACATGTTTCAGGCCTTCTCTACAGTAGGCACTCCTGACTACATTGCTCCCGAGGTGTTCATGCAGACCGGGTACAACAAGCTCTGTGATTGGTGGTCGCTTGGGGTGATCATGTATGAGATGCTCATCGGTAAGTTGCATGTTCCAGGGGGCTCCGTGTGCGTCCAAGAGAGGCTGCGCCGACTTCAGGCGGTCTTGGCCAGTCTGGGTGCTTTTCCCCACCTGGCTTTCCAAGTGAAGTTTTCTAGACAACGCTCAGTCAGATGTGCCCCCTGCTTGTGTATTCTCAGACTTCCTGGCATCCCTCATTCCTTTCTGATCGTTTACTGTGTTGTTTGTTCTGTGCTTTTATCCTCTCCATGTAGTAGTCCTTTTAGTCACTGGCACTTACTATACATCTTTTGTCCATTGGGTAATTGTAAACTAAAGTGAATATTAAAATTTTATCTTTTATTATAGTAAAAATCACCTTGCCATTAATTCCCCCCCAACATGCTGCCCCCCGTCTTCAAACATTCCATCAGTCGTGCTACTTTGAAGCAGTTCCAATGTGATCAGAGGTAGGGCTGTGGCTGTGCAGTGCCATCCAGCAGAAAGGCAGGCTCATGCAGACATGCGCCTGAGCCTCATCCCCCTTAGCCATTGCACCTGGCAGCTTCCGGCTCACGGTGCACAATTCGGCATTAATCCAGAAGTCCGGGTGGCCAGGGTCCCAACTAAGGAAAAGGAAAAGGACTTTACAGCTGCTGCAGAAGATGGCAAGAGCAATGGGAGAAGCATGCTAGAAGGGAGGGTAGTGTTTTGAGAGAGATTAATGGTGGTCTGTCTTACTATAATTTATTTCAACACACTATAGTGTAAATCATGCCGTACATGCAGAAAGGTTGGGTATTGCTTCACTCTACATGTAATTCGTTTTCCCTTTCCTCTCAAAGCCTTTAAGCATGGGGTCCATTGACCTCTCCCTCCTATTTGAATGGTGTCTCTCAATTTAAGGGACACATGTGTCATTGAACACTAGGAGAGTCTGTGGGTGACTGGGCATGGAGTCTTCAGTTGTCTTTTCTTGGGATCGCTGGATGGAGGCCTCTGCAGGTGGATGCACCTTTGTGGAGGGCTGGGCAGGGCACTGCATGTGTTTCTCCTCTGACCCGCACTTGTCCAAGGGGCATGGCATTCACTTGGAAACCAACGTGTGCTTGTATGCAGCTCGCTTGGCGCTTTGGCCCTGTCTCACGTTCCTCGAGTAGGCTCCTTCTGTAATGGTATTGTTCCATCCTTTCACTGCTTGGGGCATGGTGATTCCCATACCTGCATCCCTCCTTATGTCCTCTCTTCCCAGCTCCAGTGATTACTGTCTTCCTACTGGCACCAGAGGAACAATACCATTTTGCATTTAGGAGTTGGGAAAACATTGAGAAATGGCTTAGATATTTTCTGGGATGAGTGGAAATCCTGTCTGTGTCATAGAGGAATGGACGTACAGATATCGAGTAGTCATTGAGGACATGCACGACTGTGGTGAGAATATTCTCAGCTTCTGAGTTCTGGGGTGTAAAAGCTTCGAAGTCCCTCTTTTATTACAGGCTATCCACCTTTCTGTTCTGAGACTCCTCAAGAGACATATAAGAAAGTGATGAATTGGAAAGAGACTTTGACTTTTCCTCCAGAAGTTCCCATCTCTGAAAAAGCCAAGGATCTCATTTTGAGGTATTAGAAACCATCCCTGACCTAACTGCTCAGAATTTATGATAGGAATGAATTTTTTTTAAATTTTCATTGTCGAGGCTGGGGAGATGGCTCAATAGAATTAAGTACTTCCCTGGCAAGCTCAAGGGCCTGAGTTCAATCCCCAGTTCTGCCAAAAAAAAGTTTTTTTCATTGTCTCCTAGTTCTGTCCCCTGCTTCCTCTTACTCGTCTCTTAGGAGAAAAATTAAAAAAAAAAAAAAAAAAAGGAGATCTTTTCTTAAGAAATTTGAGGTGTGCTGAAAGGCATCTGTCTTTTCCAGATTCTGCTGTGAATGGGAACATAGAATTGGAGCCCCTGGAGTTGAGGAAATCAAAAATAATTCTTTTTTTGAAGGTGTTGACTGGGAACATATCAGGTATATCATATAAAAATATTTAGAATTATTTCAGAAAGTCTGTGGTTTCCTTAATGCTAAATTGGAACCACCATCCTTGGCAAGCTTAAAAAAAAAAAAAAAAGGAGAAAGTGTCTTAGAAATTTTGGATTTTTTCTGGGCATTCACCCATGGGATGCGGGGGAGTCAGGCACCCTCCTAGCTACGGGCTGCAGGACACATGGCATCTAGCAGCGACTGGCAAGGTGCGGGCTCCATGCTTGAGAGAACATTAGGAAGTGCTCTGCCGTCTTTGCTCTGCCTGACCCCTCTGCTAGCACTGAGGACCACCAGTGGGACTGTCTGGCCTGTGGGCAGAGGCTGTTACCAGGAGGTAGAGAAGGGAGTAAGGAGTGGAAGAAGGCTGGAGGGGGTGTGCAGAAGGAAAAAGGGGAATGTGCTGCGGGTGGCTGGGGGCAGCCTGGGCCCCGCCCTAGTCCTGGACCTTCTTACCTAGCACTCACTGGTTGCTGAACACCAGCGGGAAGCTTGTCACTTCATTTCATAGTGTGTTCCCTTTGCATCCTTTTTACCTTTGCCGCCTCTTCATTTAGCCCCTCTGTTTGGTACCTCTGGTGGGAAAAAGGGGAGAACCTTACATGAGGGGACATTTAAAGGTTCAGTTTTCCCTTTTAGTAGACAGAGCAGGTCATCAGGGATTTTATTTTCCAATTTCTTGTTTTTATTAGTACAGGTTTACGGTACGTAATGGTCGCATTTGTCATGGGGTTGTTGCGTGTACATAACACATGTTCATTCTTTTTTCATCTCAGGGATATTTTAGTTTCCCCTTATTATTCCTTTCTTTCAAGGTATAAATTACTGAGTTACTCATGTTTTTTCATCGTAATTAACTTGTTGGATGTGGTCTCTTGGCTTGGTCAGCATTCACAAGCTTTTCAAAAGAAAATAAAAGCTGCCATGTCAGACCACAGCAGTCATCTGAGAAAGACATGACAAGTGTGTCTGAGTCCTACCCGTGGTAATTTCTGGCGTGTCTGTTGGCAGGGAGAGGCCTGCTGTGATATCTATTGAGATCAAAAGCATTGATGATACTTCAAACTTCGATGAGTTCCCAGAATCTGATATTCTTAAGCCAACAGGTAATTCCACCAGCCTTGCCTCTGCTACCTTCTTTTCTGCTACCGTTACTTCTCCACCCTTCCCTCCAATTTTGGGATGATGTTTACAAATCAGGGTAGAGAACTGAAGAGGAACTGCAGTTCGCCAAGTTCCTTGTAAGTACTTTGCCAATACTAATACTGGGTGGCAGACTGGGCGTGGTGGTGCGCGCCTGTAATCCCAGCTCTTGGGAGGCTGAAATCAGGAGGATCAGCACAAGTCTGATCTGTGTAGTGAGACCCTATAGACCCTGTGCTAAATACAAAAAAAAAAAAAAGGGTGTCAGTGAGACCTTGTTTCAGACTTTCCTGTTTAGACTGCTCATCTGGGTGGGTAAGTCACAAAACCCTGCTTTTTTGTCATTAAAGTTAGGTAAACTAAAATGAGAGGAATGGGAAAATAAAATTTTGATAATATTCATGTAGAAATACAAAGAACACAGGCAAGCAAAGGTAGAAAATTTATAGTAAAAAATCCCTTTTTCCAAATCAAAACTGGTGCATCCTTCAGATTGTCCTGTCTCCGATGCCGAGCGGGCCTTTGGGGTAAGACGGTGGATCAGCTCTCACATCTGTTTCTTTCCCAGTGACCACAAGTAACCACCCTGAGACTGACTACAAGAACAAAGACTGGGTCTTCATCAATTACACATACAAGCGCTTTGAGGGCCTGACTGCCAGGGGGGCAATCCCCTCCTACATGAAAGCAGCGAAATAGGACCCTTGTCGTGGCCTCCTAAATGAGCGAGGTCTTTGTGTTCGTCACGGTTTCCCACCACACTCTAAAGAGCCTCCAGGCGATTCATGGTACCCATCAGTATGTCAGAGCAGCCTCCCGAAGTATGGTAGGAAGCGGATTTTCTTCCATCACGTGTCTAAAACCTGCTGGAACAGTGACAACCATTTTTACAACATCAGCCATAAACAGCTTTCTTGCTTCTTTAGAAGCATCATGAGCCAATTTGATAGGTATTTTAAAAAAGAATTTGGATTTTCCTAGGTTTATGTGAACAAAGGGAAGAAACAGCCATCTTCCAGACTTCCTGAGTTTACGTGTACCCGCTGAGTATCAACCAGCCCTGTGGTAGAGCCACATGCTATCTGCCAAGCCCACCAAGTATTTCTTATTACAGCTAAAGGTTCCACAGTACTAAGGAAATAAAGCAATAAGGAGCGCCTCAGCAACCAGCACCAGCACCCTGGCTGAGGGAATCACCAGCTACACCGGGGCAGGCTCCCGGGCCGCGGCCGAGCAACAAATGGCTTTGCACAGCCTCCATTTGTTCGTGGTGCACTTTATCTATGCTAAGGTACAGCCCCTTCGGTCCCCTGCCTAGCTCACGCTTCCCGCCTACCTAAAGGACTTGCACCGCCCTTCTGAGTGTCCAGGGGGGATATCATTTCTTAGAGGCCCAGAAACCTTCGGACACTGCCGAGGAGTCTGGTTTGCGTGCGACCCCTCACTTTCTCTCGAGGCTCTATAGAAAAGCCCTAAGGCACAGTCGTGGACCAGCAGGACCTGTCAGTACTGCCCACAGGAACTCAACAGATTCCTGGGAAGACAGCAGCAAGGGGAGCCCAGATAGAAGTGGAGCCCCGCTGCCTCTTGGCCTTCCCAAGAATGGTGAGGGAAGAGCCAGGTGGAGCTGCGCCAGCAGACAGGTCCTTGGTCAGCCGCTTTTTATCTCTCCTCTTGGTACTTGTCCTCCCCCAACCTTGAGTAGCCATTTTGCCTTGGAATCATGATCATGAAGTTTTCCTTTGCAGACAGATGCCTTCCTGGGGGAGCTCTCCCAGGGCTAAAGGGTTGCCTGCAGCTTGTGCTCACCAGGCCTCTCCACAATGGTGGTCTCTCTTGAGACCATCTGAATTTTAGCACAAGTGCCTTCTCTGTCACAGCTGCCACCACCTTTAGGGGATTTTGCTGCGTCAGAAAAACATAAAGGTTCAATATTAATACATCATCAGTTTTAGTTTTAAGTTTTGAAAGATCCTAAAAGCATCATTTGCACCGTGTGGGAACTGTGTGGCCTCTCACGGGCAGGCCACGGCAGGAGACGCTTCCTGTTCAACGGCAGGATGCGATGATCCACTCTGAAGGGAAAGCAAGCCCCAGCTTAACCATTCAGACAGTGTCGGTCACTGTGATAAGTGAAACTGCTTTGGGGTTTAGTGTGTTAGACAAAGAAGAGTATTACGGAAGTCTTGACTGGATAAACATAGGTTTGCCCCTTAAGCTTCATTCAGAGCCTGTTAGTGGAAAGGAGATGTTTTGTGTAACTTCACAGTCCTTGTATTACCAAATAGCTGGGGTGCTGGCCCCGCGTGTTCTGCAAGAGTGTGGTTAGCATGGTAGAGAGGAGCAGTAGTGCTAGTGGCTGTTGGGGTGGGCAGGGGAAAGTGCCCACATTTTAACTGTAAACTTCTGAATAAACTCTGTGAAAACAGTAGTGGAATTGTGATGTTTTAAAGCCGAATGCCTTAGAATGCAGAGCAGCGAAACACTGGTGCCTTCTCTTAAGCCTGGGTCCACAAGCCCAGGAACAGCGCAGCAGTGTCTTTCCACAGGGTGCTGTCCCTTGTCCTCAGGGAAGCCGGAGCCGGGCTTCAGCGTCTGCCCTTCGCGCGCTCCCTTCTTTGCAGGGACCCTCAGAGCTGACCTACTTGGATCCTCCCCAGCTCTCTGAATCCCTCGGCTAAGTGCCCACTAGCAAGCCATCTGGCAGGCCTTAGGCAGATTTCCGCGTCCTCAGACAGAGCTCCTCTTGTTCCCAAGAGCTCTTAGTTTAGTGCACACAGACATCCACGCCAGAAACTCGGCCTCATACTAAACACAGGGCTCCCTTCAGTAGATATTGATGACCTTGGGGCATGGCCATCTGTGCTGCCAGGGCCTCTGCAGTCAACTCTGGTCCATTGCAGGGCCCTGCTCCTTCTGTCAGGCCTGTTCCCTTCTCCCAGAAAAATCCTGAGTTCAAGTTTGGCCCACCTTTGACATGAAAGCCCAGAGCCCCAGTAGTTTGTCTCCCCTCCCATCATCCTACCAGTCACCCCAGTGAAGAAACACTGATCTGTTGGTCACAGTGACCTCCTCCCCCTGTACAGCGGAACACTGGTTTTCACACGTGACTTCTGAAGCTTTTTATGAAGCCCTCCCCAGCAGAAAGTAGCTCCTCTGTTCTTTGGGGCTTCCTGAGTGGCCTGGCCTGCTCATGTCTGTCTGCTCCATGTTGTCATAAAAACATCTTGGAGAACAGCTGCCAGTACACGGCTGTGGAGGAGAATCGGCACGAGTACCCTCAACAGGCGGGCTGACTCCAGGGCAAGTTCCTCCATGCTAACCAGCAGTCCCAACAGCCTTGGAATCGTGAGACCCGATGCTGCTAAGTCGCCCAGGCTGACCCTGCACGTGATCCTCCTGGCTGAGTACTTCTGATTGTGCCCCACACCTGAACCAGGTTCCTGAATGTGGGCCTTCGGGCTCAGAACTGTGAGCTGTTGGGGCTGGTGAGATGGCTCAGTGGTCTAAAGCACCTGCTTGGAACAAGCGTAGCAAAGCACAGGGACCATGGTTCGATCCCCTGGCACCACATGCCAGCCAGCCCCGCCCCCTGGTGGGCTGAGCTGGCCACACAGTGGGAGAAGTGCGCTCAAAAGCAGGCCCGTACCTCCAGGGAAGGAAGCCACGTGCTTTGCAATTTAATTTCCTGCTTTAAAAAAGCAACACAGACACACACAAATAATAGTACTTTATTATAGAAAAACGCATCCCAAATTTGGGATTTGGTAAACACTGGTCGGTGAACAAGTGCAACTTTGTAAGTAAATACAAGGTAAGGAGGCGAAACGTACAAGCACTTTGCCTTGAGAAGTCAGGCCGTTCCTCCTGCAAAGGTGAGCCCATCTAGACTGCGCCGTGCTCCGCCCCAAGGCATCCGTTTGCTTTCCGAGCTATGTCCGGTTAAGCATTCCAAGTGATGGCAAGAAGTGGCACTGAATCCTAAAAGCTGGACTTCACGTTACACTTGATGACGGAGTTAAAACCTGTGCTCTGGATATTTATTTAATAAAGACTGACCCTTTCTAACACTAACTGAAAAAGACCCGTCTATACTGGTCTTCTTTCATAGGCCTACAGGCATCAGATAACATACCTGTCCCGAAGGGTTAGTTTAAAATAATTTTAGCTATCATATTGTGTAGGAAATCCGGCTGCTTTCCTCCTTATCCTTTTTGCTGCCATTCCAACTTTTCTTCTACTTTGGAGAAATCCTGAAATAATGTGACAAGCACTGTCCCTTTGCTAATGGCGGTTTCTTAACCAATTATGTAAGATAATGATGCAGGCACAAACTCAAGATTCCCACCCTCAATTTCAGGGTCGACTTGGCTTGCTGAGAAGCTCTAAGACCCTCTATGAACAGCCTGGCTTATTTAGGCACTTAAAAAAGACGCCAAACCCAAGTTCCACATTTGCCTATCTGGCCAATAACCTGGCTCTGAAGGGATGACCGCAACCTGGTCCTCATCTCTGCAAGAACTGACTGGCCACCAAGTTACAGTGATGCCAAGGTTTAAGCTCAGCGGATGGGGGCGGGGGGTACAAAGAAAGTGGTCCCCTTTTCAAGTAGTCACCACCATTTGATGACACTTGCAGATTAACCTTCACAGATTTCCACAAGCTCAAACCATACTGGTTGAGGCCAAAAGCATGTTAACTTAAATTCCAGCGGTGGAGAAGGTCCCTAGTTCCATTCTCTTTTTGGCCTTTTTGAGACAGGGTCTCGCTCTGAAGTTTAAGCTGGCCTTGAGCTCATTTTGCAGCCCAGGCTGGTTCTGAACTCACAATGACCCTCCTGCCTCAGCCTCCTGAATGCTGGGATTATAGGCATGCACCACAACGCCTAGCAGGTCCCTAGTTCTAAAAGCCTGAGAATCATTACACAGAATACAGTGTCAGGTATATGCCCTACTTCCACAACTTCGTACCTAAAGAAGAAATGGATATTAAAGTGTTAGTTATGGCATGTTTACACTTCATCAAGAAGTTTTTCACATTGCCAACAGAAACATCAGATTGAAATTAGCTTTCCGGTGGCATGGAAGTCACTGAGAAGTGAGAAGGAAGCACCGTCATGGGACCACCTGTGACGGTAAATAGGAGCCACTTGGTTGCAAACACCCCCCTCCCACAGGGCCCCACAGACACCATGGCTACCAGAACTCCAGGTGACAGATGGTTAGCTGCTTTTTCCCTGTGAGGAACAGAACACTGCTTCCCACTATGATTAGCCAACTCCCTTAAGAACACTGTTAGGCCGGGGGGGGGGGGGTGCAGGCCCATGAGCACCACACTTGGGAGGTGGAGGCCGAAGGATGGCTCCCAGTTGGAAGCTCCCCAAATAATGCTTATTCCTCAAGCCAGGAAGAAGTTCTCGGCACCCAACTTTATTTTTGAAGAAATCAAGTTGCTTGCCCTATAGCAGCTTGCAGGAGATGAATTCAGGAAAACCAGTCGCATTCTCACACCAAGGAACTGGAAGGAAACCACGCACCCATTCACAATCCAGGAGGGCTAAGTGCTGGGAGACTTGGGACCAGAAAGTGGGAGATAATTCTTGAACAACTGTCTCATGTTGGGACTCTACATTTAGCTCTGCTGCTAGCACCCACAGACATGTCAGAGGATGGTAGGGTCACGGAGACGACCTGGACTGTCACCCACTGTGCAGTGTTGACAGAGGTGATAGCACATCAGGTGGCAAGGCCTGGCCTGACTTCCCTGGAGACCACAGCATCATTTTCTTACCCTGTGTGTGAGCGGTTACTAGGGTATTTTAAAATTCAGAATTCACTGACACCTTCCAAACTCCCTGGTACAAGAAGCACTTGTGTAAAGAAGTCCTGCACTGGGGCTCATTTTGTAGTTTCCCACCCAGCTTCACCCCAAGTGCCTTCTCCTGCGTGCTCTTCTAAACCCAAGACGCTGCTTTAAACTGCACACTTGTGGCACAGGGCTACCCAAGGGGCTTGCCAGCGTCCAGCCAGGAGAACACAACTGGCCTGCCTTGGGGGGGTCTCTTGCCAAATCAGTCAGCACTTTGAATTCATGAACCTTAAAGTTAAAAAGGTTTCATAAACATAAGTCATTCTTCCTACGAAAGAACTCGCCTTGTGTGGTTTTGGATTGCTCACTGCATTAACGTGGAAACTGAATTTCAGCTCCTGACGATTTCCTTTCGCGGTCTGAATGAGCCTATTCTTTCCAGTTGCAGTCTAGGCGCAGAGGCCTAGGCCTGGCATTTTGTTCACTCTTGTAAACATCTCAGGGCCGGCATTCTTTTAGAAGAGATCGTCTCTTCTTACGTTTGTTCCCTTTGCCCCTTACTGTGCATTTGCCTGATGTAAGACAAAGCAAACAGAACCAGAGCAGAAAGGGTGATGAGGCCTGCTTTGCTAAGTATGAGGTGACGGGAGTCTTGACTTCCCTTCCTGCTTTTGCAGTTAACGCAGACTCAGCGAACAGCACCAGACCCCCAAGTTTTCAAGTTACCAGGGCTGCTGCCGAGCTGGTAGCCTGATTACCAGAGGCTTTTTCATCCCTTGCCAGGAGGCGCAAACTTACCACAAATGACACACGTTAATTACAGGAAGACCAAATGCAGGGGACACACGGGTCAGGGTGAGACGACAACCACACGGAAGCCCTCTGGCGAGGGTGGACCCCTGAAGGCCCTAATCCTGAAAGTCATTAGAAACCATCTGAGCAAGGGGGGCGTTGAGCCGGTCCAGTTCATCCACTTGGGGCGGGTGGTGCATCAGTATCTCCTGGTCCTCTGAGGCGTCCTCGCCAGCAGCTACCAGGTTCGTGAGGGACTTGCTTCGGACACACTGGAAGTCCACATGGCGACTCTTCCCTTCTTCCTTTTCCCATGACATCTGGATAAAGGGCCGCTGTACGTAATTATAGATAACTTCAGACCGACCGCCGGGTCTTCTCTTTATTTTCTCCTTACAGGTGGGGTAACCTGAAACAGAAAAAGGCTATTTCATGATTGTGGCAAATTGGGTTGCTCTGCATGTTTTCTCCTTCCTCTCAAAAGCAAACGTGAAAGGAGGTGGGGAGCCAGGGTCCGACACCATTTGAAGAACTGTCACTGCACCCAGACCGTGCCCAAAGGCACCGTCGTTGGCTCCAGCCCTCCAGCTGTACTTCCTAAAGGACCTTCTCGCCCAGAAACGCTCAGCAAGAGCACCCGCACTGCCACCCCCACGAGAAGCCCGAGACCTGGAGTTCACCCACCAGCCCTCTGCCCTCAATGCTCTCTATCCTGACAAGAGTAAACTCAAACCTAAAAACTTTTCCAACTGGAGCAAAAGGGAAGGAGAAAGGAGAAACAAAAAGAAATAGGAACCCTTCCCATGAGAAGCAGTTTTCCTGTTCGCCTTTTCTCCAGGCCCCCGGGAAGCTCAACTCTGAATTCATGCGCTGTGGCCAGCTACAGCTCGCTTCCCGAGTGTGCAATCTGAGAGCGACTGGGGTCTCTTACCTTCAATCCCGATGCGAATGTTTTTCAGGCCTCGTTCCTTTAACACTGTTTTAGCGACATCTCGATTCTCGATATATTTAAAAAATCTGTAGAGCTTGGAGCTATACAGAACTGAAATAAAACAAACACTGGAGTTAGTCACGAAGACCTCTGTAAGAGGAAGGACACGAGCTACGCCAACTACCACAGGTGCACCTGACCACTGACACAGAATCCAAACAGGTCAAAGATTAAATGTGAAATAATACAGGAACCACGAAAGAAATTTTTATGTTCTCAGGGTAGGGAAGGACTTTCTGAGTATGATATAAAACCCAGAAGCCATAGAAGAAAAATATAGCATCCGTGCAAAGCCAAAACCACCATTAACAAAGCTAAAAGGACAATTGAGTACGGAAAGCCTGTCTTATTGTACCCGCCACCCAGAGAGCTCTCGCAAACCGTAAGACCGACAGCCTAGCTCTGCAATGGACCCGAGGCACAGGCACTGAAAAGGCCACTGGAACGGCTCCGAGGTGTTCGCTTATCATGCAGGAGTCTGCGCGATAGCCCACACCGCGTCCGAACGTGGTGCTTACTTCCATTTTTTCTTGTTTGGCCCAAATTTGCTCTGCAGAGCTTACTTCTCTCATACCCAACTAGCCCACACTTTTCAAATAAGCTTTTTGGCATTATTATAAAGAAAGAATGAAAGAAAAAAAGAAGAGAAAGGTAGGTATTAAGAAGCCTCACTTAAAAAATAAACCTAAAAAGCCTTGCTCATGAAATGTAAATTAAAACTACTGGAAACAGCACTACTGGTGCTGTTTTTTTTTTTAACTATTAAGAGTGCAGCTCAGCAGATTAAAGTGCCTCCAGGCACACTGGGAGGGGTGTCAATGGAGGGGCAGGCTGAGATGGCAATTGAGATCAGACACTAGGCGTGGTGGCACATGCCTGTAATCCCAGCTCTTGGGAGGCTGTAAACAGGCGGATCACTATGAGTCTGATCTACTAGTGAGACCCTGAACACCCTGTAGACCTTTCCCTAAAATATAGAAAGGAGTGATCAAGGTAAAGTTTTGCAAACACTGGTGAGGGTGCAGGAAGCCGACCTATCACATGTGGTTATGTGAGTGTAAGCTGCATAACAGCCTGCAAGGAGGAGAACCTGGCAAGGGCAATCAAAGTTACAAAACCAAAAGGCCTTCGACTTTCCGTTTCTAGGAGTATCTATAGGGATACATATGTGAAGACTGCTTACAAAGATATTTACCATGCATTATATATAACTCACAGACTGTCTATCGGGGCTGGTTAAATCAACGAGAACGCATTTGTGCGATGGCATACTGTGTAGCCGTAAGAGTGCCACAGGCTGAATAAGGTATCATTTGGAAAAATGGAAAAACTAGTATGCAGCTATTCATGCATTCGGAATATACTTGGGGGCTACCAAGAAACTGAGCAGGCAAACAGTGGACGAGGCAGGCTGTTACATGACTTTTAAATGCAAATCCTTTTATAGAAGAATTCTAAGCTTTGAACTGAGACCAGTTTGAAAAGACTGAAAACGAAAGGACAGGAGAGTGACAGCAGGATTTGGTGCTGGCCTTGGAATCTTGAAGGACCAGGCATGGTGCAGGAAGGAGAGGTGGCAACTACAGCAGTGGCTGCCCAACACGGGGCCAGCCTCCTGGGGAGCGCCCTCACTGCTGCCCCACAGCGAGTCACACTGGCTCTAGCAGTCGGTGGCTGCTTCGGGCAGCATTTTTTTGTGTGAAAAACATCGAGACCCTGCAGGGCTCCTACTTTGAGAATACTCTTCTCCCATGGGTGGGGGGTGGTCTTCATCCCAGTCCACAGAATCCTCCTCTGTCAGCACAACAATGTGGCACTCTCGCTCTCCTTTCTTGGCGCAGCCCACCATGATGGGCAGGATGAGTTCTTCGAGGTAGTGATCAAACTGCTTGTGAGCACCATCGTTGGACAGTTCGTGCAGCAAAGCACCTGGGGAAAGAGGCAGCGGCTGGCTGTGCTTCCCGTGGAGAGGCACCTATCGCCTACAAGGTTACAGCTGCTGTCCTTGGGAAGGTCCACAGAAGGGGACAGTTAAAAGAAGCATTTCCTATTCCCAGGTGCCTGCCACATGTGTCACATTCTGAAACATTTCAGTCCTCTCAAGTTAACTAATCGCTGTGCACTCTGACTGACGTTTGGTCAGACACAGTGTCAAGATGATTCGACAAGAAATGGAACCACTTTTGGGGGAGACTCTATAGCACCTCTTGTAAGATGCTGGGCCCTCCCTGTCTGGGAGTGGAGTATCACACAGTACAGAGAGGCTGGCGTGTGGCAACACCAAGGGACTGCCCTGCGTGTACCAACCTCGGACAAACCTTAAGTCTACAGGCCTTCATACACACTGCAGGGAAATGCAGTGTGGACCTCAAAGAATTGCTTTTCCTTTCTGTACTGGGGGGGTCAAACCCAGGTGTACCCCACCAATCCCTGGCCCTTTTTATTTCTGAGACAGGATTTTGCTAAATTGACCAGGGTACCCTCAAACTTGCAATCCTTCTGCCTCAACAGAAGTAACTGGGCTTAGAGCTTATTCCACCATCCGAGGCTCCGAGAATAATGGTAAGGGCATGGAGTCTGTAGTCAGATGATCTGAATTCTGGCCCTAGATTTAATGATTAAAGCTTTGAGCAAGTGACTGTGGCAGTGCCCTCATTTGTTAAGTGAAGTAAGCACCATCTTTCAGGGTTGTTACGCAAGTCAGCACCTCTCAAGCACGAGATTAACACTAGATTAAGGACGACTGGAATCGTGGCAAGAACGCAGCTGGCTTATGCAGGCTACCTGTGTCAGGGAGCCTTTCTGCATGGTCCATCAGGTGACACCAAGCTACCTACAAGGGAGTCAACTAGCACAGGCCTGGCTCGCAGAACTTGATTGCAAACCCACTGCTGGGTTCCCTTTATTTACTACACACTGAAGCAGGAGAGGGGATGGGTTTGTTAGTAGCCCCTGTTCTGTAGAGCATGTCAGCCTACACTTTAAACTCCGTTTAGTAATAAAACAAGCATTCGCTTCTAAGCCAACTGACAGTTGGGGTGCTCAGGAGCAGCAGGCAACTGTTCTGTACTCACTCAGGTCTTGACATCGGATAGTGTTAAAGTCGAAGTTAATGCAGAGATAATCACATGTATCTCTAAGGTCTGGGATAGAGATGCCATCTGGACAATTGATGATACCAGTTTTATAATAATCCTGTGAACAGATTGAGAGAAAGAAAGGTAGGCAAAGAGCTTCCTGGTTGGTTCTGCTGAGGTGCGGGGTTCCTGGGATCACCACCAATGATGATTCAGGGCAAGAAGCCCTGGTACTCCGGACTTGACAGGGACTGAGCTCACACAGCAGGGAGGACTCCAGTTCAGAAGAGGAAGTGAGGGAAGGCAAAGACTGGACACAGAGCAGCTGAAGCCAGTAATGTGGCCGTTTGGAATGCTTAAGGAAGAGGCTATGATGGTAAATAAACGCTACTACCCACCAGCACTGTGCGGAACACAGTTGCGCTGATTCCTTCGGCGATCTCATACTCTCCCTTCTCATTGGGCCGAGTGAAGTTGTACTCTCTTCCTGGTCCAAACATCCTGAAAGACAGCCAGGCAACATGTCAGCTTCGCCAGGAGAACTCCCCGGCGAGGCTGTGCCCTCCTTGCCTCATCTGGAAGACTCCATTGTGCTCGCTCCCAGTGCAAGGGACGAGCACAGCATCAGGTCTCTACCTACGGGGCCAGCTGAGACTAGGAAACTCCTCAGACAGGGCCAGGAAGCAGGCCAGTGCTCTCAGCCTGGGTGTGCAGAGAGGAATGACACAGCAGGCCCTAAAAGTTCTTTTCTACTGAGGTTGCAGCAGATTAGCCACTGACAGGTGGCCTCTGGGAACCTCGGGAGCGTGCTGGCTGCCTGGACACCCTTGGTGTCAGTGGGTGCAGCTGTGCTGCTTTCCTTTCCTGGTGCATCTTAGCAGCCTGCAGTTACTCTGACGATGGGATTTCAGGTCATGTAGAAGGAGAGCGATAATGGGGTTCTAGCAGTTTGACACGTTTCAGGGGCTCCCAGAATGAACTTAGAGGTCATGAGGGCAGCAGTACGGGCATGCTTTCCTTATTCATCTGTCCCAGCCTTCCTGCTTCTCCCAGGTCCCCTCCACTCCTGATGCTTCTGTGATCTGCACTCCTGCCATACTTTTGGGTGTGAGATGTGGGATGGTGTTATAGTTTGTTTATAGGTGTCCCCCCAAAGCCTCAGCAGTCTTGGTTGGGCAGACTTCAGGAGTTTGCAATTGTTGGAGTTATGGGTGTGGATGCTACGCCTGCCCTTCAGCAGGTAATCTGCATAGAATGAAGGAGGGAAGAAAGGTTGGCCAGGGGCCGGGCTGCTGCCACTCCCTTTGCTCTCTGCTCCTTGCCTCCCTCCACCATGAAAGGCTGCTCTCTGCCATGGGCAGCTATGCCTCAGAGCCAGCAGAGCTGGCTGAAACCTCCGGAAACTGTGAGCTAAATAAACCTTTCTTCCTTCATTCTGAGTGTTAAGTATTTGTCCCAGCAGTGAGAGAAGAGTAACTGAAACAGATGGAAGAGAGCCCTTGGCCTGCTGACTGGCAAGTCTCTCTTCACCAGCCTGGTCTGATTTCCCAGTAGGACTCCCTGCCACTTCCCTCCCTCGCCTGCTGGGAAGCACTGCTTTCAGCTGCTACTCTCTCCGCTGCACTGGCTGCTTTCCAAAGGCCTGAGAATGATTCCATGTCACATGCCTTCCTAATCACCTAGGATGCACAGAAAAGCTCCCCGATAAGTCTCCAACGCTGACCCTCTACTAGACATCCGTGTGAGTCCAGCTGAGTGCGCTCAGAGTCAAGAGTGTATGCCACGCTGAGTGCAATTCCTCCTGCCCACCACCAGCAGAACGTGTGCTGAGGGTGCTTTACCTAATCGTGCTAATGGTGCAGTCCGCTTTAATCCACTCTCCTCTCAGCTCACGCACCCACCCTGTGACTGGTGTCCCCATCTGTAAGCTCACGGCCTAGGAGGGAGCAGGGATGCAGCATGGGACAGAACCAGCCTAAGCGCGTCGGTCTGCTCAGCCCAATGAACTCCCTGAAGAACCAGCCTCTCGTCTTCCTGTGGAAACCAACCAATCCCTAGGTGCAAAGAACCAGGGTCTTTCCCCAGGAAACACCCATCTTCCCTTGATCGCTACCTGCAGAGGCAGTGACCCTAGAAAGCCAGCCTACAGTGAAGGCCACTTTTCAGGGGAGGGGAAAACAGTGTTGACACCAAGACTGAGAACAGGAAGACGAGCCTGATAAAACATATGGCCAAATTAGAAAGTGTCCTAATATTCTAATTTCATCTTCATTCATATGTCTAAGAAATATATATGGTTTTGCTTCTAGGTTAAGCAGTTCATTTTGAATCTTTATGCTCCCATCTATGCATTTTTATAACTGCATTCCATTCAGCTTAGATTTGGCAGATGAATATGAGCCATTCTGATTTCTAGTTAGTTCAAAGTCCTGGTGAAATTAGCTCTTTATACAAAATAAAACTACTTCCAAGTAGATGAGAAGCCTCTGCACCACTGTCGTCATTATCTTTTAGTCTTAATCCAAATCTGTTCCTCTCCTGTTAATGGAAGGCCAGAAAGAGGGTCCCCTGTCCCCCAGGCCAGGCTCAGGAGTACTTGCTGGCCAGCTTTGTCCTAGCAGGCTGTCTCTAGTCCCTAAACTCCATTCTGCAGAGCAGGGACACAAGATGGGGACAGTAGGTCTTCACCATCCACAGAAGGATCTTGCAGAGGCAGAACTGGGATTGGAGCATGAAGAATAAAGAGAACCATCGTGAAAGATACAACAGCTAGGAATAAAGATTCCACTAGAAAAAACTGAATGAGAGCCGGGTGTGGTGGCACAGGCCTGTCATCCCAGCACTTGGGAGGCTGAGGCAGGAGGATCATTGTGAGTTCAAGATCAGCCTGGGGGGCCAGCCAAATAGCTCAGTGGATTAAAGCACCTAGGCAACGGCTGGGGTTTGCGTGCTGAGACGGTGATTGAGACTGGGCGTGGTGGCGCGCGCCTGTAATCTCAGCTCTTGGGAGGCTAAACACAGGCGGATTACTACAAGTCCAATCTACATAGTGAGACCCAGTAGACCCTGTACTAAAAAAAAAATAATAAAAGATCAGCCTGGGCCACAAAGTGAGCTCAAGGCCAGCCTGAACTGCATGGCAAGACCCTGTTTCAAAAAGACAAAAAGAAAAAAAAAGAAGAGGCCTTAGAGCATTAGGCACAGCTGGGCGTGGTGGTGCACGTCTGTAATCCTAGCACTCAGGAGGCTGAGGCAAGAGAACTGTGAGGCCAGCATAGGCTACACAGTGAGCTCAAAGACCCTGTTTGTTTTTTGACCCACAGTCAAAAAAAAAAACCCACAAAACAAAACAGCACAATATCTACTGCCAAGCGTGAATGTGGCACAAGATGGCACATAAAATGTTTTTCAGTGAAAAAGCTCTTCTGTGTCATAGGAAACATTTGTTACTGCTTTTTTTTTTTTTTTTTCTTAAAAGAAAAAAAGAACATAACCTTAGGATCCACTTACCCAAGGATCTTTGACACGCATAATTTGGAACCTGTTACAGTGAGCTCAGAAGAGCAGGATGAGATTTGGCAAGTTATGTTCTGCGGTGCTGAGCAGTTTACTCGCTTCTGCTGAGCTGCTTCCAGCCCTCGGTGCGGGGCTTAGGTGGAACACCGGCCCTGCCCACGCTAGACAGTGCTCCACCTGAGCCATACCCCACCCCTACCAGGCTCTGTGCAAGGTACCCGGCAGCCCTCCAGGAACTACCCAACACAGGGCTTTACTAGTTTGCTGATCATCTTCATGAGAGGATAAAGGTGGAAAAATAAGCAATACAATGCAAGGTAGGGAGCATGTACTTCTGTTTATAAAGAATAGAGTGATTTAGAAGCAAGTTAGCAATCACCTTCCCAACATGGTGTCCGGATGAGCAGTGAATATTTGTGGATTCACAACAAACCGTGTGCCATCTACGAGAAGTGTCACTTTCTCTGGTGCTTGGGAATGAGAGTTACCGCCATAGCCCAAGTTGCTGTTTCCAAATCTTTCTGGAGCCATGAAAGGTTCATGATTTCGTTTATTCCCACTTTGGAAGCAAGAGCCTTTGATGTCCTCGGAAAGTGGCATTACGTGAGGGAACTGAAGATTCGCTGGCAAAGAGGCATAGTCTTGGGAAAGATCTGAAGAACCATTCAGACAAATAAGTCACTTGAGAAGAAAATAAACCCTGTCTTCCTTTTGAAACAATGAACCAACAAAACAAAACACAACACCCACCTATCCCCACCCCCACAAGCTTCTGCATATTCACAGGGCAAAAGCCAAAACTGCTTGCCTACAGCAAGTTTAAAAAACTAAACTAAACTCTATTATAGAGATTCATACTGGGTATTCCTGAACTTTCCTCCCAAGTACATGTGGGGAATCAACAAAGAACAAAGGCAGAATTTTTTTTTTGCTTTCTTAAAACAGTATTTCTCCATAGTTCAGTCTGGCCTGAAACTCTTAGTGATCCTCCTGCCTCAGCTTCCCCAGAATGGGGATTATAAACGTACACCACCACACGCAGCTGAAAAGACCTGTAGAATGTAAACTATGCCAGGTGTGGTGGCGAATACCTGTAATCCCAGCACCTGGGAGGATCACTGCGAGCTCAAGGCCAGCCTGGGCTACAAAGTGAGTTCAAGAACAGTCTGAACTACAGAGTGAGACCCTGTCTCAAAAAGACAAGACAAAACAAAATATAAAACAAATTGCATAGGGGCCGGGGAGATGGCTCAGTGGAATAAGCACTTCCCTGGCAAGGGCCTGAGTTCAATCCCCGGTTCTGCAAAAAAAAAAAAAAAAAAAAAAAAAAATTGCATAGATGGTTTAAAAATTTAATCCATAGAGAAGAATTTATGTGAAGCCCCAGCGGACCCTTGCACTCCCTCTAAATCTCCTAAGGAAGGTGCTAAGGCAATTTGCTTTTACTTCTATTTTATTTTTCTCCCTACAAAACAATCTATTTTGTTTTATTTTAGAAGCTCAATGTTGCTGCATGATACAACTATTTTTTTTTTAAAGAATTATTTATTTATTTATCCATTCATTTTGTGTGTGTGGCCAGCTCAGCCCACCAGGGGGCGGGGCTGGCTGGCATGTGGTGCTGGGGGATTGAACCGCAGTCCCTGTGTTTTGCTTAGCTTAGCTTGTTCTAAGTAGGTGCTTTAGACCACTGAGCCATCTCACCAGCCCCATGATACAACTATTAATTTTCACATTCTTGAGCACTGTTTTATATTTTCCGTCCTGAGAGTGGGAGCCTCTGCTGTACTGTTTCCCCGAAAGGTCCATGGCCGGGAGGCTCCTGCCAAGCACACAGCTCTGCACAGGGAGGCCTCGCCCGGCACCACAGCTCCATGCCGGCCACCCTGGGATTCGCTCTTCTTTTGTTTTAGAATCACCAAAAATCTGTTTTCCACATGTTATTTCATTTTTCTAAACCTGATCTTATCAATAAAATGAGGATAACAGTGTTCACCCTGGCTACCTCACAGGGCTGCTTCGATAACCAACTGAAATAAAGTACGAGAGTGTACTGGGAACTGCAAACCTCACGTGGACCGCACAGGAGGTATGTGGGACACTGAGGACAACGGGAGGACTTGCACAAACACTACCATATGACTGCTGTAAAACTAACACATTTACTAATGCATTTATTTTTCAATTAAAAATTTCAAACATACAAAAGCACAGACTTAAAAGTTACCCCATCACTTACACTTGGCAAGCTTAGCTGACCTTTTTCTACCCTTTTTTCAAGATTTTTTTAAATAGAAGGTTACACAGTAAAACTGAATGTCTCACTTTCGTCCCTCATGCATTTTAAACACGTATACAACTATCCACCACCACAACCTCTGGGAAATTAGTCTAATTTCCTGCACTGATGACAAAATAGTTAACAAAAGGAAGCAAACTTCTAAACCAAAAATCTCCTTAAGAGTCCACACCCTATTGGGCAGGGAAGTGCCGGGCACGGCCCTCGTCTACACAGCAGACTGCACAGGCAGGAAACACCTTGCTCAGCAGCCGGCTTCGCATTTCCAGTGCTGTTCTTCAAAGAGAAGCAGCCCTCGAGGGTGCCTACTTTTGCCTCAACAGTGCAGTCACTGAATTAGGTCGGTGCCTGAGCGCAAGGAAGCAGCACCACCTGCACACTACCTGAACAGGGACCAGAAAAGAAGCCACACAGGTTCCCCCTTGTGCCCACTGTAGCAGCCACCACACACGCTTTCCCGACAGCTGGCACACGCAGCTCAGCCTGCTCAGAAAGACCCACGCAGCACATGGAGCCTGTTGCGCCCTGGGTCTCCTCATCTGCGCCACGAGGGGAGTAGTTATCAAGCATCACCTAGACGGGAATGGGCAAGCTTTCTGCCAAGGGCCAGAAAGTACATCATTTTAGGTTTTGCAGATTACGAGCTCACCACTACAGCTGGCAAGCAGCAGTAGACAGAAGTAAACCAGTGGGCAGATGGCCGAAATGCAGTATAGTTCTATGTGAAAAGCAAGCAGCAGTTGGACGTGACCACAGGTTACCGTCCCTGTGCCGAAGGATGCACTGTGTGTAAAATTCCGAGTTAAGGCGCTGCTCAGTAAATGACACTTGCTATTAGCCTGGATATTCTTTAAATTGCAAGTTTAAAAGTATGACAAGAAGTAGAGCTAGTCAGTCATCCAACTTGTAAGTAACTGATGGGATAGATGCCCCTGGACACACACCTGCTCTGAGCAGTCTCAGGCCTCATCTGTGAGCTCAGAGCAGAGAAAGAAGGAAGCGTCCAGGAAGAGGCAGAGGCAGGGGGTTCACACTCGCATGGGGCGACAGTCCCCAGGCAGCGTACAGCTTCCGCCTAGACAATGGGAATGCACTGAAGCATTTGATGGAAATGTGATCGCTTGCCGATAAAAATACAGATCTGATAGGACATTTTCTTAGAAACGTTACACTCGGTGCACTCTTGCTTAATTGTAATTCTGCTAATATTCTCATCTAGAAGCCTGCTAGGTCTTCTATGAAAACACTGTCCCTAAGAAAGGCAGGATAAAGTATTTTCCTAAAATGGAGTTTCTGTAATCATTTCTGGCTACCAAAATACTCTCATGGCTTTGAGATTTTTTAAATTAGCACATACCCACAATATGGGGGCCGGGGAGATGGCTCAGTAGAATAAGCACTTGCCTGGCAAGTGCAAAGATTAGAGTTCAAATCCCCAGTTCTGCCAAAAACAAACAAGCCCACAACATGTGGCAAAATGTGACACACACTGTCTAATCTCAATCCTGTAAACTGGGATGCTGTGTGTCTACCCACAGGACCCAGGAGAGTGTGTCCAACTGAACCTCCCATGCTTATGCATGATTTTGCTCTTGGCTTCTCTTTTTCTCCTGATTCCTGTAAGGCACCTATTATTTACCTTTCAGGCTGGCATTGAGCTCACTTTGTACCCTAGGCTGGTCTCAAACTCAGAGTGATCCTCCTGTCCCAGCCTCCTGAGTGCTGCTGGGATGACAGGCATGCACCTCCATGCCCAGCAACCTATTAACTTTTTAAATAGTAAGGTTACTGTAAAAACATGTTCAAAATTAAAGGGAGCCTCTAAGTTAATAAAGCACATTCACATTAACTTAACCCACCAGCCTTTCAAGAAAGAATATGAACAGTTTTTCTAGATTAAGAAAAGCAGAACTCAGAAAGAGTAAGGATCTCATCTGTGGTGACAGTTATTAAACAGCAGAGCTGGAAGCTGAATCTGTCTTGACTCCAAGCTTGGGCCCATTGCCCTATGCCACCATCACCAAGTAGGAGTGTTAGGCTGGGGAGATTTTGTGAACGCCAGCTTGACAGAAATGTGATACACATGCTGAGCCAATTACCTGGCTAACATTCAGTCAGGTTAAGAACAGCCATGCCTCCCAGGCCGAGCAGACGCTCAAGTGTAGGAGCTAATCGCCGTACCTTCGTTCCTGGCACCTAAGGGGTAAGTGAGACTGTGAAGACCAGACGAGGCTGGGCTGTTCGTTTCCTTTTCTTGAGCAGCAGCTAAGGCATCACTTGCTACACAGCTGGCCTCGGGCCGCAATAAGCTGTCGCAGTCACTGCCACGGTGAACGTTCATCCTCGGGTCCTGTATCCTCCACTATCTGCTTGATCACAGAGAAATCCTAGAGACAGAAATGTGCATCACTTAGAATCCACAAAACTGGTTTCCAAGGATTCCCACAGCATGAAAGCCAGACAGGAGTGACAGCTCCCATTCTTGTTTGCATGAGAAAGGGCAGGCATCTCAAACTTTTCTGTGATTTTAGGTTGAGAAAACAGGGCTTCCTCTGTCCTGTCCAAGTCACTAGGAACGCTGATAAATCTACTACAAGGAGTAGTTTTAAGCTTTACCCACAAATGCATATCAGGTCCCTCAACTTTGGACAGCACACTTGTAAACATAAGTGGTGGGACAATAATTTGAGGTTTGTATCACAAACACAAGGGGAAGGTAAAGAATACAAAGAAAATCTGCCTATGTTTTTTAAAATGCTATAAACACTCTTACAGCAATGAAACACCAAGAAATTAAAAGCAATCACAATTACAATGCAAAAAGAAATGGCATGAGAAGTCAACTAAGCTTTAAAAAAGAAATAGCTTTAACTTGCAGTGCTCAAGTTTTTTCTCATTCTCACCTTCCCTATCTTATGCTTAACCCCAAAAGCAACCTCAAAAATACAGTGGCCACAAAAGCAGTCATACAGCTCACCCCAAGCCATGAAGAACACACACCAAAGGACAGCAAGACCCGTGCTGACCAGGTAGAATGAAGAGCAGCGGGAACCACCTTTCCACTGGTTAACAGCACCCTGCAGCCCTTCTCTGCTGAGTGGCCCTGACTACTGTGAGCATTCCTGAGCATTCCGGATGCCTGCCGGCTGAGCACACAGTCCATACCGGGCTCATTTCCACTTGGCAGTGTAAAGGAATCTTAAGCCATCAGTAATTTATAGGCAGTAAGCCTTCATACTCTAGGACAGGAGCCGTAACAGGACTGATCCCTGGCATACTCTACATCCCCAGAGATTTCTTTTCTTTTTCTTTTGGTGACGGGATCTTGCGATATTCCACTCCAGCTATCTAGCTACTGCCTGTCTATCCTTCAGCAGCTGCTCACGAAACCCCCCCAAAAATCCTTAAAGATATTCCAGACAGAGATGACGAAGCTAACAGTGATAAAAGGTCTCACAGAACAAATACACCAGGGCGACCAGTTAAGCAGAAAAGGGAATCAGCAACAGGAAAATAATGCAATGAAAGGAGTAAGTCATACCCATCAGTCGTAACTCTCTTTGTGAATGGTCTTCATTCCCCAGTCAAGCTGGCAGAATGGACCAAGAAACAAATGTACACAAGAAACACATTTAGGAATCCAAAAAGGATATCCTAAACTAAAAATCAAAGGATGGAAAACATTTCATGCAATGGGAAAAGGCCCCCAAAAGGCAGGTGTCGCTCTCCTATTTTCAGACAAAGTGCAGCTCAAACCAAAACTGAACAGGAGCAAAGATCACTTCATGGATTCTTTCTGCTTGGCATCCCAAAATGCTGGAATACAAGTGTGTGCCACTCTGCCTGGCTCCTTACTTCTTCCATTATATATCCATCAGGATAATTAAACTATATCACTACCTTGTTGAGAAGGCTATTTTGGTAATGAATTTCATTCTTTCCTAACACACGATTAAAGCTATACATTTCCCTTTGTGCATGGCTTCAGCCTAACTCAACCAGTTCTGATACATTGCATTTTAATTTTTATTCCATTCAGGCTGTTTTCTACATCTCATTGTGATTTGGAATTCTCTCAGTTGGTTTTTTTCTAGTTGCTGGGACAAAATACCCAACACCCAAAATTAAGGAAAGAAACGTTCATTTGGCTCTGTTTGTAGAGGTTTCAGTCCATAATCAGCTGGCTCCAAGGCAGAATGGCACATGGCAGAGGGCAGCGGTTCATTACAGTAGAAAACAGCACAGTAGCAAGAGCAAGGAGGGAGGCTCAGCGGCAGCAGAGCAGAGCCAAGAGCAAGCCCCTCTCTCCCTCCCTTATGTAACACCCAGGCTGTTTGCCCAGGGTGAGTGTAGCACTCATACCCATCATCCCCACACTGGAGCAAGAATTAATCACAAACCCTAGAAGCTGTCCTAGGACTCATGAGGCTTTAGGGGACACAAACCGTGACAGGGATAATTACTTTTTCTTCTTGTCAAAACAAAAATCCCAAGATCTGAAGTTAGGGGAAGAAAGGTGTATTACTGATCTCACAGTCTGTAGAGGTTTCAGCCCAAAATCAGCTGGCTCCAAAGCAGGCTGGCACAGCAGAGGGGCATCACAGAGGACAAAGTTCGTGACAGGCAGAAGACAGCAAAGCAGTCAACAATCACAACAGCTCTTTCTGTCTTATATTCCATCCAGGCTACCCAGGTGGGTAGCACTCACATTCAGGGTGTCATCCTTACCCAGCATTCCATACCCTAGATCCAGCCACCTCCAAAAGCCCCATCTATGACCACCTGAGGCTTTGAGGGGACACCTAGATATAAGCCATAACAGGAATATTCTTAGTTTGTTATTGATTTTGAACTTTACTCCACTGTGTTCAGAGAACATTATAGCATAATTGAGTCTACTGCTAATTAGTCACTGGAATTAGTCCTTGTTCTTTGTTTTTGTCTTTTTGGCAATGCTTGGGATCTAATTTGGGACCTTGCTCTTGTCAGGCAGGCATTTATGCTGAGCTATATCCCTGGTCCCTCTGGGATTAGTTTTTTTTTTTTTTTTTTAATTTTATTTGTGTGTGTGTGTGTGTGTGTGTGTGTGTGTGTGGCCAGCTCAGCCCACCAGGGGGCAGGGCTGGCTGGCATGTGGTGCTGGGGGATTGAACCGCGGTCCCTGTGCTTTGCTTAGCTTGTTCTAAGTAGGTGCTTTAGACCACTGAGCCATCTCACCAGCCCCTGGGATTAGTTTTAACTAAATTTTCAAGTATCCTTAAGAATGAATGGTATTCTCCTCAATCCTTGGCACCGCATGCTATGCTGGCCCTGTCCCCAGGCACACTGAGCCTGTGATGGACTCCAGGCATGGTGGCACATGCCTGTAATCCCAGCACTAGGGAGGCAGAAATCAGAAGGATTACTGCGAGTCTGAGCTGTGAAGTGAGACTCTGCACACACACACACACAAAAGAAAGAATGGTATAGTGTTACTCATTTTTTGTATGGCGGAAATGGGAAAAATACTGCCCACTGCCTATTTTAGTAATTTTTTTTTAATTGTATTTTAGTACAGGATCTACAGGGACTGTAGATCGGACTCATAGTGATCCACCTGTGTTCAACCTACATTCAGCCTCCCAAGCGCTGGGATTACAGGCATACGCCACATTGCCCAGCCTCAAATCACCTTCTCAGTGCGCCTCGAGGGGCGGGGCTGGCATGGCACACTGGGATGGAACCCTGGCCACCGTGTCTGCCTAAACAGGCGCTTTAATCTGCTAAGCTATTTGGCCGGCCCTTTTAGTAAGTTTTATTAGAACAATCATGTCTTTTTAGGAACTATCTGTAGCAGCTTTTGCACTATGAAAGTATGACCCACAAGAGAAGCTACCACTCATGTTCCCAATCCTTTCCTTTTGGCTCCTAGTGAAAACCTGGGGTGTTTGACTGGGGGCATTCCTGCATGGAGGGCCTGTTCTGTGCCTGTGTCCCTAGCACAAGGCTGACAAAGACTTTGCTGAACCCCCTCAGCTTCTTCATGCTGACACCAGCTCAGCTCTTGGTCTCTTGGCAGCGGCTTCCAAATACTCTGGTGAGGAAGAGTGACTCAGCATGTCAGCACACCTCAGCTTATTTCTCCTGTCAGTCAGAGTTCCACAGAGAAAAGGAGCCAACAGTGTGAGTGAGGGTTTACACGCACATATGTATACACAGAAGTATTTCTTCCAAGGAACTGGCTTACTCAAGTGTTGGGGACTGGCCTTGGGGGGGGGGGGGCAGGCTAGGACTCCTGGGCAGGAGGCGATGCTGCAAGTCACAGCTGGAATTCCTGTCAGAAGCTTCAGCTCTGCCCTCACAGTCTTTCAGCTGACCCATTAGAGCACTCTGGGATGGTGGTGGACAGTGCTGGTGAACCTGCAGCATGGGTGACTACAGGCTGGTCATCACTGCGCTAGGATGGCCTTTCCTTTAGGGAAAAATCTCAGATGTTAATTATTTAATTACACTCATCAAATCCCTTCACAGTTACATCTCCATTAGTTGAAATATGAAACTGTAGCTGAGCTGAGCGGGGAAACACCATCACGTCTTCTCTCAAGGAACTGACTGTTTATTAGTTTTCAGATGCCTTCAGACAGACTTGGGGGATTTTCTTGTTTTATGGTTTTTTATTATTCTTACTAAGTTTAGTCTGATAGAAACATGTCAAACATTATGTAGAAGCCAAGTTCCCGGTGTTCTATAAAAAATGTTCCACATCTTGTAATGGTTGCATGGAACTTCAACAGCTAGACCATCCTCTCTTTTTTTGGTCTGTCTTTTTGAGACAGGGTCTTGTTTTATGTACAGTTCAGGCTGGCCTCAAACTCACTACGTAGCCCACATTGGTCTCAAACTCAAAATCATTCTCCTGCCTCAGCGTCCCAAGCACTGGGATTACAGGCGTGCGCCAGCAGCCAGGCTGGACTGCACCTAATTTAACTTACTTCCTTCTTTCCTCCCTTAGAATTACAGAGATGACAAAGTTTTTCTTGTTGTGTACTCACCAAAACACAGACAATATTACTTAAACTAAAGAGTCATTCATTTTACATTTCATCATTTAAAACATCAGGACACATCTTAAAATTATGACTATGTTTACTAGCCCTTCATTTTCCTAAAATGCCATCTTCAGTCAGCACTCCTGTCCTAAAGCAAGGGTGCCGCATTATCCACGGAAGTCACCTGGGCTGGGCTGCAACTTTCTATCCTCCGGCCTCAGCCTCCCAAGCGCTGGCTGGCGGTAGGTGTGTGCCACTGCACCCGGAGTCAGTGAGAAGTTCTGATGACTGCCACTGGAGCTTGGGCCCAGGTGATCTTATGACAGTGACTGGACTATCTTCAGAATTTCCTCCCTGTT